GGACTTCATCATGGCATCACATCCTTTAGACTATGGTTCCACATCCGTCTCAGGCCTGCTGGTTCTGATGACTACGATGACAGGAGTAGACGTTACAGTGATAGTTATGGATATTTGCATGCCGACCATCTGGTGAGAACTGTGTGTTCTTACTCTTGTTACTCAGTGCACAACACTGCGTGTGTGCGACAGCTTCGGTGAAAAGGTGTGTGCTAACCGCTGCAGTTCACACTGTAGGTTACACAGTTCACAGCAGTCATAACACACATTGACATAACTCACCTTTCATCAGTCCAATATGTTTACTGTCAGACTTTTGAGTTGAATGCTAACACATTCATGCTTACATTTGAAGGCTATCATCCTGAAGCCACATTTCAATTGTATTGTTCAGGCCGTGACTACATTACCTCCTAGTTGTAATTTCAATAGAGATATCAGGGATGTCTGACAACTACAATATCTCCCAGCAAGGGAAATGAAGTGTCAATAAACCAGCAGCAAATACACTACTGCTGGCAGTTACAGCTGAAGGAAACCAAATATTAACATAAATGCAATCAATTCAGCTAATTAAAAAGAGAGCTACTGTTTGTTTGTCCTTGGTTTCACTTGTTAACGGACACTATATGAAATAGCTCATTTAAGCTCAGCCTACAGTTAATCTGGTGCGACAATGATGGAAACAACATGGCATGCGTGCAGCATTAAACTAATCTTCACATGTTCTCTAACAAACATGCTGACGTTAGCAGGTGTAAGTGTAACCCACACACAGCACAGAAGAAAAGCTGAAGGAAAACTAATCTGTATGGTAATGACATGGCAACCCCCCCCCCCCCCCCCACACACACACACACACACACACACACAACGCTCCCTTCCTGTCACGTCCCTTAGTGACGGCCACAAACAGAAAGGGCACGAACCAGGGTGCGGTTTTGGTAAACTGATTCATAGTTTGCACCATCGGGGACGAGCTCTCTCTGGAGACGTTTTAATCTGGCTCGGCCTGCTTGGAAAACAGTTTCCCCAACGCTCACATTAGCAGTCAAGCGTCGGCCACAGGGAGAGGTTTTGTGAACCGTTTTGAAGATGGCTGCTGCCGTGTGCAAATGTTTGCTGTGCACTCTGCCAGATTCCAACAGGAATCCTAGTCAGGGCTTCCTCGAACTCACTGGCCTTCATTCAAAATACCTAACAATACTGTGTTAGTGTCTGACACATCGCTACACCGTATTGTCCTCGGCACAATTACAAATGCCAACATTAAGGGTGCGTGTTTAAATGAAAAGCCTTAAATCCAACTTCTTTGATTATCACAGGGAGACTAAAAGGTTCAGAAAATTGTGTCGGCTGGCTATAGGAATCAAAGCGATTTATAAACGTTGCATGAAGAAACAGCACGATGTGAACCCGCTTTTATGAAGCTTCAAAGCTACGCGGTTTTGTGCCAATGCAGTTCCTTGAAGATAAGAGAACAGAAACAAGAACACAGGACCAGTGGAGGCCACAGACCGCAGGACATGACTATTTCAAAGTGTGAGCCGCAGGACAGAGAACGGGACAGCATACTCATACTTTGGCTGCTCCTCCAGTATCATGACAGTTTGTAATAAAAAACACGTACAGTTCAATTTTGTTTGCCAACATATTTGAGATATCCTCTCTATGACGTGACTGTCAACAGCTTGTTCTAATCCCCTTAAGGGACCAAAAACGAATTACTGAGAAAGAGACGTTATTTAAAACTTCAGGTCGTAAAACTGTGAGTGAAAGAGTTTTTTTTCTTTCCTCTATTCATGTGATAATCACAAGAACGAGGCTGGGCCGAGGGGCTGGGAGGCGGGGTTTAAAGGAAAGGCTAGTGTGCTTGCTCTACGGGCCCAGATAGATGTGGAAGATCTGGGTCGTTTTGCTTCATGGGCTACTGTCATAGGAATGGCCGGGGTCTCGCCTCCAATTTTACAACAACTGCGTCCATATTTTATACAGTCTATGGTTAAAACAAACAGCAGTGCAAAAGCTTTTCCTACAAGGTAGAGCTTTATCAAAGTTAAACACTATAAATCAGGAAATATTGGTCTGAAGATAAAGCCCCCAAGACTGAGAACCTGTATTTGGTACTTGTTTTTGATATGCAATGATTGTAGATACTCTACAAAACTAGGTGTTAAAGTGCTGAAATTGTATTTGATGTGCGTAACTACAGAGCTGAGAGGCTGAGCAGAGGTTGGACTAGAGCGTTGGCAGACTGTTCCCATGCAGCTGATCCACATCAGCAGTCAGATCGTCATAATCCCAACTTCCAACCACTTTTTGGGGTTTAGGCCCCTCTTTGCAAACCTGTTCTACATTAAAGGGCAAAGGGTTCTCTGACGCCCCTGAGGAAAGTGCGCTAACTTTCGCTCATTATTTAAGAACACGGGAAAGTTGACAGCTAGCAGAACTATCCCCTGTTACAATTACCTCTATATTACGCCGATAGTCTCAACAGCCATTACTGGTGGGTACTGTAATATCACGTGGCCACCACTCTTCAATTTTATCTGCAGGAGCCATCACAAGCACGTGCTTGTACTGTGCATCACAGGGAAACGGTACAGTGAGCAGAGAACCTGAGGATAACGTGCATTCATTTACCTAAACCTGACATTCCTAAAATATTGTACGTTTTTTTTTGCTTTTTCTAAACAGAATTAAGACAGATTATATAAAAAGGTGAACACCTCAAATCTTCCATCTTAAAAAGAGTTTACTGTGAAGACGGTAAGATGGCGGAGAGTGAAAACATACCAAAAAAAAAGTTCCAGCATCTGACGGATCTAAGTCGTGCTTAATGAGTTTACGCAGTCCTTGCTGAGTAGCAGTGAGTCAAATCAAAAGCTTTTCAGAATAAGCAGATATGATTAGATAGTCTGTGATTTGTAGGTTCTTTCCCTTCCTGTCTTGTCACAGGGCCTGGGGTATTTGAAGCAGTCTTTCTTTCCGAGCCTGATGGGAACTGGAGGCCTGCGCAGCATCTGGTTGACTTGGAAACAGCTGTGTTTTCACAGATCCGACTGAGGGTTTATAGCTGCTCCCGGCAAGCCTGGGTTCACTGGGCCCGTTTGGCTAAATAACGCTAAATCTCACGTCTGCTGCTCCCACGAAAAACACCCTTTACTGTCACTGTTTCTCTTCTTGTTCTCAGGGAATGTATATAGTGCAGTCCAATAAGTCTGCTGAAGGATCATAGATATTATGAGGTGTTTATGTTAAATGAGTAAATCACAGCTCACTTCGGAGCCATCAATTCTAATTTGATGCACAGATTTTTGTTCCTGCAGCTGTGTTTCGGAGGCAAATATCCACTAATACGAGAGTCTTCTGTTAACACACACACACACACACACACACACACAAAAAAATTGACAATTGTTGATACAACTTTAACACCTTGAATCCAGTCCTGACAATAAAACAGTGAAAGTAATTTTACTGTACTGAACATATTATTTAACCACCCATCTAATAACTTTCTGTACGCACGTGTTTCAACACATGAACTCCATTCACCAATCAGTCCATAAATCTGAACCGCCACAGCTGAAACACAACACGTCGGGTAACACAATACAGATTCCACATGTATTCCTCAGAGGGGGAAACAGCCCACTCATTACAACCAGTTGCTCTCTACTCCCAAAAAGAAAAGCAGATGAGCAGTGATATTATCCAATCTGGTTTCTCCTGTATTTATTGAGTATTACAGACAGTGTTGAGAGTGTCAGCACACCGGATCTGAACTGAGCTGCTGGGAGAAGATTGCAAAGTAATAAAACACATGAATTCTGCCCAGTCTGCAGAGAGAGAGAGAGAGAATCTTTGAAAGAGTTCAGTCTCCTGTAATTGTGCCGACAGAAACACGGCCTACCGTTGGCGTCTGAAGTCACGTACCGACACAGATATGTCGGTAACACGGGCATCCACATACATGCCAGCGACATACACAAAAAGCATATCAAACCCACGTAATGCCATGCAGCCAAAAATAGCTCTGCTCAGAGAGGACAGGTTTCTACAGTGAGTGACTGCGCTCTTAGTACAGGATTAGAGCCGACTGATGCTCAAGAAGATTACTCAGCGTTCTGTGGTCACATGACCCCCAGACCTGCATGCAAGTGTGCAGCAGTGGAGCAGGTCATCGAGCGTGGCGCTCTTCAGACTGATCGGTGATTTATGGCCAAACAAAATGGTGACTTGAGGGGGCACTCGGAGAGCGTAGACCTGCGTCAAGGCCTTTGAACATGCATTATAATGAACAGTAGATATGTGATATGACGTGTACTTCCATAACTCCTACTCCCAGTCATTCTTCTCTTATCGTCAAGCCATAACCACCACACATATATATCTTCTAAAATAATCGACCACATGTTTCTGTAATTACAGCATGAGAAAGGCGCCCCGGTAATCTTCAGATTTGGGATCATAAATCATCTCGGTGACTACAACCTTGTGGGCGGAGTAGCATTCAACATGTGGAGAGAATAAAGCTATTTTCGGCAGCTTCTCAATCAAATACACAAATCTGGAATGCTCAAGAATGAGGCGGCTGACTCACTGGAAGCCTGAGTGCTTATGGAGGAAACTGCGATTCACAAATCCTGGTGCAAGGGCGCCCTCTCCTGCCAAATAGATGAATAGATTTTTTTATTCTGCTTTACCAAAACTAGCTTTAAGATCTGTAGAAAAGAAAAACTTGGGATACTTGTCTTCAGAAGAGCTAAACCTTTTATAAAAACATAAGAGGTTCAACATATGAGATGCTTTATGTCACCTAGTAATGAAGCAAAGTTAAAAGCACAGATTTAGGTGGAGAACAAGATGGTATTGATCTGGTATCTTACTCAAGGATACTTCAGCTGGGCTCACACTGACATGGATGGTTTTACCAACCAATAGGTGGCCAATAAGGAGCCGTGTTCAGGTCTGGTAGATTGCAGGACATCACTAACCTGTATTTGCCAGTCCTGACTTGTACGCCTTTCATTCCGCAGCGTTGGGCCCCGCCCACGTCATTCACCAGATCGTCCCCGATCATCAGTGCCTGCAAGCGAGGAGGGCAGAAGAAAAACATTATTATTTAGTTGAAGATATTTTTAGCTGCTCTTATGCTGATGGAGTTACAAAAA